CCATTTGTCCTTTGTGCTCAGATTAGAGTGGTAGTAACAATACAGGTCTGCAAGTTAAGTTATCTTCTCTTTTACTGTTTCAGGATACAACTAGCCTAAAATAAATAGCAATATCATTGTTTTGGGGGCATATGTCTTAGGGCCTTACTTAGTTGAGTCCTAGTCCTTCTACAATGGGTAATCTTTTCCACTAAGGTAATCTAGTATAATCAGTTTGCTCTGAATTAGTTCCATTCCTAGTTTGATAAGATTTTGTTTGTATTAAGAATTTTTTTCTTGTACATATCCTCAATATTGAGATTTTCAAAGTTTCAGTGTATAGATTTTTTGTTTCATAATCATGTATCTTTTAGGAAACTAATAAGGAATCACAATTATTTAAATCAAGCTTTTTAATTTTTGTCATGTCACATTACTTTAAAAATACTGTTTGATATGTAATTTAAAACTATTTAGACTTTTGTTTTTATATAGAATGTAAAATTCTTCTAAATATCTTTTGCAATGATAACATGTAGCTTTGGTTTTTATATTATTATTTTTCTTATCTATACCTACTAATAGCTAGCTTTATCCCTAAGGACTATGAATGATTCTTAAATATTTTATTTGAGATTTTTTGGGGAAGAAATTAAGATAGACAAAATTGAAATATCAAATTTTTGAAAAACAAAGCAAATAACTGAGTTACTTGTATGGAGAAGCTGTGAACATTGCCAAAGCCAAATTAAAATGAGAGATCATAACAGTGACATTAAAAAGAAAAACATTTACTTTGGTAAGCAGGAGAGAACTCTGCAAGTTCTTGAAACAGGGAGTACTGGTCCTTAAATTGTTGCCTTTTCGAGATAAGATCATTTGTCCTGAGTTTGGGGTGGTTGTGGGGTGTTTTTGTTTTCTTCTTTTTGCAGTGTGACAGCTATGAAATTCGCCCTGGGAAACACCTTGGAGTGTGTATATCTGTGGCAAATAATAGACTTTTTGTTGGATCAATTCCAAAGAATAAGACTAAAGAAAACATTCTGGAAGAATTCAGTAAAGTCACAGGTAAAACAAAATTGTATTTATATATTAGTTTTGGGGCTCAGTTGTATGAATTCCTAAGTGCAAAAAAGGGGAGGGTATTAGTAATCGAAATCAAATCTTCTTTGAATTACCTGCCTTTTGCTTTTTAGTGGTTTGAACTTTTATGTCCTCAGTTTCTTGGTATATCTTTGGAATATACCTCTTTTCTTTTGTGAAACCCCAGCTTTTGTCAGAAACTTTGCTCTGTAGCCCTTCCTGACCACCTACATTCAGTGTCCTTTAGAACCAAAGGGAATGAAGATTTTTTTATCCTAACTCTTTGTAATGCAAAAAACGGTTTTTTTTAAACCCATGGAATTGAGAAATACATGGTATATCTCAACTATCTTGATTGTAACTCATCTTTGCTTTTTGTTTTTTTCTCTGACACCTTTCTCATGGACTGAAGATTACTTCTGGCCCACTTTTTTTCAGCCTTTAATTGACTTATTTTAGTTAGTGCCTCTAGAATCAATATGAAACATCTGCTACTATCATAATTGTGTTGGTCACATACCAAAAATGGCACAGTTCTTTGACCTCACCACATTATTACTCACCAGCTCCCTTTTGTATGAGATCCATTCATTGCTTCAGGAATATTTCTTCACATGCATGTTAAACACTAGACATTGTGCTATGTGCTAGGGTATAGTGGTGACTAAGAATTTGTGTTCTCCTTAATATACAATTACTCTCTGATATAAAGCTCTCTCTCTCTCACACACACACACACACACACACACACGCGCGCGCACACATACGCACATGTGTTCTTTAACCTTAAACAGCCTTATTTTTAGAAAAGCACAAAAATTATAGAAATGCTTAAAACTTTAGTAAAGACTATGAGGGAGAAGGATTTAGCTAGAGAATAGTTAACTATCACTGCTTTATTATGATTATGAAAGGCTTTACTGAGAGATGACATTTAATCCAAAACTCGAAGAGTGAAGATATAGCCATTCAAATTGCAAGAAGTACATTCCAAGAGAGCAGCACATGCTAAGGCTCTGACAACGAAAAACTCAGTGTATTAAAGTGAAAGAAGAGCGAGCAGTGTTGTTAAGTTAGAATTTGGCATATAATTCTATGAAATGAGGTCCTGAGAGTAGGCAAACTCTCTTTGTAGGTCTTCTGAGGATTTGTATATTCTATTCTAGGTATGAAATATTCGTAAAGAATAACATGTGATTCATGCTTACAGGACATTATTCCTATATAGATAATAGCTTAGAGAGGGGATCCAGAGGATACGCACATGTGTTAGTTGAGGCTGTCATAATAAATGAGATAGAAGATTGGACTCTAGTGGTAGCAGTAGAGATTGAAAGAAATAGGTTTGGAATTTGATAGGGAATAAGCAAAGGAAGAAATCGGGAATATGCCTCAATTTCTGGGTAGTGATCCTATTTATTAGGTAGAGAATTCTGGGGGAAGATAGGTTTGGGGGCAGTATGGTGATGCAGTTTTGGACATGTTAAAATTGGACTGTGTAAGAGACATACTGAGGCGAGCAGTTAAACACATCTAGAGCTCAGATGTCTGAGCTAGAAATAAAATCTATGCATCTATTGGACTACAGATGGTAGTTAAAAGTAGACACCAGGTAATGTTACCTAAGAAGACCATACTGAAGAAGAAGTCACAGGACCAAGATCCGAGAGGCACCAGTATTTAACAATCAATTTCACTCTTGGTAAAGAGTAATTTTTAAAAAAAATTATTTTATTGCGGGCTCGTATAATTCTTATCACAGTCCATACATACATCCATTGAGTCAAGCACATACCTGTTGCCCTCATCAATCTCAAAACATTTGCCCACTACTTTAGCCCTCAATATCATTTGCTCATTTTCCCCCTCCCTCCCCCTAAGAGTAATTTTTTAAAAAAATTATAATTTACACACAACATTTTATCAGTTTCTTTAAGCTATGCACCATTTTCATTCTGTTTTCAACTTTTCCACCATACCTGAAAGCAAGAATTCTTAAGTTAGATCCACAGTCCAAGATCTTGTTTATTATTTGTTCTCCCAGAGCCATAATAATAATGTGACCTTTTATACAGGATTATAGTATAATTTCATCAATCTCATTATACATTTATTGACCTTGTAGAATGTTACATGCCAGAATCCAGTTAAGACTTTCTCATGGTTGTCCCTTCAGAACTCCTAAACTTTTAAAGAGCCATAAAACACTGTCCTACACCCATATCTAATAATGCCGATCTACTTATCTGCTAGGTAATAATGAGTCCTTTCGAGACCTCTTCAGTGTTTTATTCTTCGGGAGCTGGCTTTATGTCTGCCTAATCTCTGTATGTGTGGTGGATGCTTTTGGCTTATATATCTGGCTGTTGGTTTAACAGAGGGTTTGGTGGACGTTATTCTCTATCATCAACCCGATGACAAAAAGAAGAATCGGGGGTTCTGCTTCCTTGAATATGAGGATCATAAGTCAGCAGCACAAGCCAGACGCCGGCTGATGAGTGGAAAAGTAAAAGTTTGGGGCAATGTAGTTACAGTTGAATGGGCTGATCCTGTGGAAGAACCAGATCCGGAAGTCATGGCTAAGGTAAAAGCAATTGCTGGCGGGGGTGGGTGGGGGTAGGGTTATCATTTAAATTATGTGCTAAAAATAAAACTCACTTTTCCCACATTATGAGTACAAATTATAGTTCTTAGCCTGTTTAGGTGAAGAGTTGCTCTAATACTAACGTTTACAGCCTCCTTTGGTATCCAGGAATTTCTATGAACCATCACTTTTTTTACAGTTTAAATATATAAAAGAACTGAAATGAAATCCCTTCAATTACCTATTCTTACACTGTTTAATTTTAGGCACTATGAAAGATGCAAAGGTTAAAAAGAGGTCTTGCTGTGTGAAGAGAGAAGTAATGTTTTCAATTTTTGAATTACAATCCTCATTGACTGAAAGAAATGATCCTCTTAGAACTTAAATTAGAATGCAGACATAACCTTTCCCCTCCTCCCATGTCTACCTATATGATAACTTTTTTTATGACCATGAATGATTTTATTTTTATAACTTACATTTCTCTAGTGACCTTTTTTCTTTAATCAAATTTCTTAGAATATTATTGGGAATATTTACCATGTTTGTTATTTGTGGCAAAATATTCAAGGTGAATCGTGTAGAGGGCCCTTAATTGCTTTCTGAACCCTGTTCTGGAATTGATGGGATGTTTGCCTGGCAAATGGTGGTACCTTTAGTTCTAGTTTTTGCTTTTTCCTTGACTGACTCCACCATAAATTGGAATTGACTTGACAACAGTGCTTTTGGCTTTTTTTCAGTGACTCCTACAGTTGAAGGGACAGGCTAGAATTGTATTTCTGCTACCTTTATTGAGTTTATTGAACATTTTATTGTATGTCTCTGCTATTGCCAGGAAGATAGTCACTAACTCTGTGGATGACTTTGAACTGATGGTTAGATTCTTCTTGACAGAACTCTTCCTCAAGCTTTCTCTTCCAGGTGGCTGTCTTCACCCTAACTATTCTGGATGAGAGCTTCAATTTATACTAGTATGGTAAAGGTTTTATAGGCCAAGACATCTTTGGGTTAAGCAGAGAAGATCCAGTACACACAAACCCAGAGAAGCCCTCAGAAGTGATGCTCAGTATCTTTTTCTCCTCTTCCGCGAGTAAATGGGAAGGGCCTGGGACTCTCAATATGCTAATTTAAAAATTCTTGTAAGCGCTATTTAATTTTAGCTCTTCTAATATAATTGTGATTTTAGACAAACAACTAAACTTGGAAAGCCATTGGTTTTATTGAGGTTGGTGAATTCTCTTATGATCCTTTACACCTTGATTCTGCATGCAGAAACTGAGCATAACCTATTCTTTTTTCTATAAAAACATTGTAAAATAGCATTACAAGAGCATAGTTTAAATATAAAAATTCTAGGAATTTTTAAATGTAAGTGTAGCTAGCAATATACTTACCAATCACTTTCATATACATCTGTTAAACTGTCAGACAGAAGTCATAAAGTTCATTAAAGCCTATTTTTAGGGTTAGAAAATCTTGAGATTTTCTTCTAGTAACCATTCTTTACTGGACCAAAACCGAGTTTTAGAATGAAAAGGAGGCTTTTACAAACTTGGGATTTAATAATATTTACTCTTTTGTTAGACATAAACATTTAGTAGTATAAAGCTTTGTCTCTCACTCTAGCAGTGTTTTAATTCATTGAAGATTATTTGCCAAGTTGGGTCAGTTTTATATTGAACTAGAACCTCAGAACCTAAGTGTCTTTTTCTTTCTTTTCTTTTTTTATTCATTTTATTGGGGGCCGTACAATCCACACATACATCCATTGTGTCATTCACATATGTGCATTTGTTTCCTCGTTATTCTCAAAACATTTGCTTTCTACTTGAGCCCCTTCTATCTGCTCCTCATTTTTTCCCTTCCCTCCCTGCTCCCCGCTCTCCCGTGAACCCTCGATAATTTATAAATTATTATTATTTTGTCATAAGTCTGTCTTTCTTAAAGGGACCTTTTTCCTATTGGATTTTGTACACAATTTCAACAGTTGGTTTTATATAGAATGCTATCACAAAATACTATCATCGAGAAACTATCACGAAAAGAATAAAATATGTATGAAATTATTCAAACATGATCATATAGATAAACTAGTAGGTTTTGTAATGTAGACTCTAAACTTTAGAAAACATAGAAGAAAATAAGGGAATAGGAATTAGAGGTGAAAATATTAAGTTTTCTTTCCTTTGAATTAACATTTTCCCCTGCATTCCTTTTACTCGTATAACCTTATCAGAGACATAAGTGTGCTCAGTTAGTTGTGTGAAAAATTTATTGAATCAGTAATGCATTTCCTTAGTTTCAAAAGTTAAAATGACACAGAAAGGTACAAAGCCCTATTTCTTGCCCTATCCCCATCTGTTATTCTACTTGTCTCTGCTAGGCATCTTTTTAGTGGTTTTTTAGGCAAATACAAATGTAGATCCTATTTTCTTACTCACACAAATGGTTTTCGTAGCATGATGTATTTACTGATCTGTATTTGCTTTATTCACCATCTTATCAGCTGTAAGGAAATGCATCATTATATGTATCACTAAGAAATAAAGATATGCTGCTTATTAAGCTATGATACAGTGCTTGCTTATCCAATGGACTGTAAGTTGTACCCCTATTTTGGAGATGTAAAGTGGGAGGGGATTGTATCTTACTAACAATGTATGCTGGCAGTTTAGTCTGTCAGTTCAAGATATCTTACTTTTCATTGGTTGTGTATAACATTCCATTTTGTGGATCCATCATAATGGACTCTACCACCTGGCCATTGCATTGTGTCTCATCTTTTTATTGCAGTGCTGTAATGAATAAGCTTGTTTCTATGTTGGTTGGTACAAGAGTAGATAGGTCTTCAGGATAAAGTTTCATGGGTAGAAATAGCAAAAGTTGTTTAAGAGATTGCCATTTTTATTTCTACTAGGGAAATATATGAAGCCTATTTTCCCCATCATTGACAAAATAGTGAATGGTCAAATTTTTGTATTTTATCAATCTGATAACATGACACATTAATACCAATATAATTTAGTGATTTTTATGTATGAATTTGAGTGTGTAATAAGTTGAAGGGCCATATCTGTTTTTCTTTGTATGAACCTTTCATGACTTTGCCTTCTTTCTAATCTGTTATTGCCCGTAAAATAATTCTGGCATCCACGTTTCTTTGTTTTGATTTAAATTACTTTTTTTTGTCTTTGCTTATGACATTTTTTGACATGTAGAAGTTATTTTAGTACATGAATTGATCACTTTTAGATAATTTCTGGATTTTGTCACAAAGCCTAACATATTTCTAAGATGTAAAGAAATCACCCTTATTGTCTTCTAATTTTTTTCATAGTTTTCCCTTGCTTTTAAAAATTAATTTAAAAAATAATTTGGAATATAGTATATAGCATGAGATAGGAATCCAACTCTTTTCCCTCCCCCTGGGAATCCAACTTTATCTTTTTCTTAATGGTTATCTAGTTCTCCCAATATCATTTATTAAGATGTTGGTCTTATGATAGCACTGACTTAAGAATCACTTTTATCAAAGACTAAATTATTGATTATGAGTTTCAGTTTTATTTCTGGGAGCATTACACTGATTCACTTATTTAAGCATTATAGTTCACTTATATTTGGTAGGACTAGATTCTTATTTTTTTAACTTAGTTTTCCTTGGCCATTTTTGCTTGTTTTTATTATGACCTTTAGAGTTAGTTGCCTTATCCACGGGGTGGGGGTGGGAGGAAGTTTTGTCTTTAGAAGGGGTCATGTTAAATTTGTCAATTAACTGCATGAAAATGAATGTGCTAATTCCTTGAAGGTCTTATTACAGTGTAAGTTTATTTGACTGGCAGGGCAGAAGAAGGCAAGAAGCAAGAATGTATATGAATGGATGACTTAACATTAGGACCATTTCCTTGGCAGCTTCTCGTAGTATCTTTAACAGCACTTGTAAAAGCACTTGATGCTGTAGATCAGACAAAAACCTATGTGTTGAAGATTAAAAATAATTATCTAAGACTTAATTAAGTTTATTTAAGTAGCCAATACCAATTTTGTATATTTCTTGTTATTAGGTAAAAGTCTTATTTGTGAGAAACTTGGCTACTACTGTTACAGAAGAAATACTGGAGAAGTCATTTTCTGAATTTGGAAAGCTTGAAAGAGTGAAGAAACTGAAAGATTATGCATTTGTTCATTTTGAAGACAGAGGAGCAGCTGTCAAGGTAGATATTTTGGAAGTTTACTTTCTTGACATGAATTTTAAGTCCCTAGTAAGGACTTGCTTCTTGGTAGAGCTAAGCTTTAAAGAGTTAATTACTTGAACTTGGAAGCAGTGATAGGCAGCTTTCTTACCTTTTAGTGCATAAAAGCAGAGCATCAGCTTTTGTTTTTAATGGAAGTTATTGAGAAACGGGTATTTTTTAGTTTACTTTGTAGCTAAATGCATCTTTTGCAAATTAAAATAACTGAATTAGTTTACTAAATATGTAAGTTGTGTTTTTGTATTTTTAAAATATCACTTTTTAAAAGTAGAACCTTTAAAATTTTCTATAGGCCATGGATGAAATGAATGGCAAAGAAATAGAAGGGGAAGAAATTGAAATAGTCTTAGCCAAGCCACCAGACAAGAAAAGGAAAGAGCGTCAAGCTGCTAGACAGGCCTCCAGAAGCACTGCGTGAGTCTGCATTTCAGTAGATAAATCTTTGGATATGAAATTACTTGATAATGGAGATCAGGCTAATAAACCCAAATTAGGAAGAGCCTTGAAGTAAACTAATCTCGTTTTCCTTTTCTCCCTTCCCTCTATTGCTTAGGTATGAAGATTATTACTATCACCCTCCTCCTCGCATGCCACCTCCAATTAGAGGTCGAGGTCGTGGTGGGGGGAGAGGTGGATATGGCTACCCTCCAGATTACTATGGCTATGAAGATTACTATGATGATTATTATGGTTATGATTATCACGACTATCGTGGAGGCTATGAAGATCCCTACTACGGCTATGATGATGGCTATGCAGTAAGAGGAAGAGGAGGAGGAAGGGGAGGGCGAGGTGCTCCACCACCACCAAGAGGGCGGGGAGCACCACCTCCAAGAGGTAGAGCTGGCTATTCACAGAGGGGGGCACCTTTGGGACCACCAAGAGGCTCTAGGGGTGGCAGAGGGGGTCCTGCACAACAGCAGAGAGGCCGTGGTTCCCGTGGAGCTCGGGGCAATCGTGGGGGCAATGTAGGAGGCAAGAGAAAGGCAGATGGGTACAACCAACCTGATTCCAAGCGACGTCAGACCAACAACCAACAGAACTGGGGTTCCCAACCCATTGCTCAGCAGCCGCTTCAGCAAGGTGGTGACTATTCTGGTAACTATGGTTACAATAATGACAACCAAGAATTTTATCAGGATACTTATGGGCAACAGTGGAAATAGACAAGTGAGGGCATGAAAATGATACTGGCAAGATACGATTGGCTCTAGATCTACATTCTTCAAAAAAAAAAATTGGCTTAACTGTTTCATCTTTAAGTAGCAATTTGCTGCCATTTGTATTGGGCTAAAGATTCACTATTGTGTATATATACTCAAGTCTTTTTATTTTTCCTCTTTTCATAAATGCTCTTGGACATTATTGGGCTTGCAGAGTTCCCTTATCCTGGGGGTTACAATGCTTTTATCGTTTCAGGCTTCATTTTAGCTTCAAAACAAGCTGGGCACACTGTTAAATCATGATTTTGCAGAACTGTTGGCTTTGAACAGTTTGATTTTTTTTTTGAATTTGGTATAGATTACATAGGCGTATGGAGTATGCTGTAAATAAAAATACAAGCTAGTGCTTTGTCTTAGTAGTTTTAAGAAATGAAAGCAAACAAATTTAAGTTTTCTTGTATTGAAAATAACCTATGATTGTATGTTTTGCATTCCTAGAAGTAGGTTAACTGTGTTTTTAAATTGTTATAACTTCACACCTTTTTGAAATCTGCCCTTCAAAATTTGTTTGGCTTAAAGTCAAAGCCGTGAAAATTTGTTCTTTGATGTGATTGTATTTCCAATTTCTTGTTCATGTAAGATTTCAATAAAACTCAAAAATCTATTCAAAACATTACCTATTTCAAATTCAATTGTGTCCTAAAATAATTATTTTATTCGTAATCCTTGCAAGGAATATTGTTTTCAAAGTATAACTGCCTATGTGAGTGATCAAATTCATGCAAAAATTTCTTGTCTATTCTAACATGTATTGTGGGCATCAGGTTGAGAATTAGTCTAAATTCAAGTATTCTAAATGTCACATTGATTGGTGTTCTATCATAGTTGCTTTTAATTTAAAAATTTTATCCTTTATTTTTAAAAACCAATTCAAAACTTTTGCACATTCTTGCAGGCATTGGATAATTTGCATTTAAAATGGGTTTGGGGAAGCCTATTGCAGTTTATTTTGACCTACATTCTTTCTATAAAAGATAATTTGTGATTGAAGTCCTTATGCTGGATAAGTGAATGTATGTAACAGGGAAAACTGTTAATATTGTGGCATTTACAGCACTTTGGCCTAAGCTTCAATTTTAGGATATATGATCATGACTACCTTTTCAGTTACTGGCTTATGAATATAATTTCCTGTTATGCAAATTTTTCTCAAGAAACACTCATGCTTTGTAAGAGAAAGGCTGAAGAATATCTAGTGATCATGTCTTTGATTATTAATATTAATAATTATTAATACCCCAATTAATTTTTGTTGACCCAGTCATAACATCTTTCCTGTTTAGCTCTTAGAACTCTGACTTAATTCCAAAGTCTTTTTATGAGACTGAGAGGAACAAAGGATGTAAAGCTTATAGAAAACTCTGGATACACTTTAAGATTCCTCAAATTTTCCTTTCCATTTTAGATTTTAGGGTCTTGAAAAGTTTATATAATTGTAAAAATATGCCTTTGGGGAATAGTTAAAATAGACATTTTATATTATGCTTTTTTCCTGTTTGGTGTCTTTTGTGACAGCAATATTAAAATTTGAAATCCTAAACCACTGAGTTACACATGTGAGTTTGGTTAGGAACTATTTTGGATTTCTCTTGATTTTGAATAAGTAATAATAGCTGGTGAGAGTCCCTGTTTCAATTCTCTTTGACAATGCAGTCATTTCATAGTATAGCATTGTAACAGACCTTATTTGTATAAGATCCTTTAGGTTTTTGAAAACTGATAAAGGAATTATGTAATCTGTTGTTTCGTAGTTTCACCAACATGAGTACCTATTTAGTATGGTTTAGATCCAGAATTTTTTTATTGTTCATGTATGCAAGCAAATAACAAACATTCACTAAATGCTGCTTTAAACTTTGAAAATACAAGTTGACAGTGTAACTATTAATCAAAATTATATCAAACTGATATATTCTTGAAAAGAACAAACGTATAAGTGAAATTTGAGTTACTTTTTTTTTTTTAAGAGATAGATGTTTATAGCTAGAGTTGTCATGAATTAGCACCGGAAATAGAAGAAATATTTTTTTACTCTGTTGCCCATGTTAAAATGTAAACCCTGATTCTCCCCAAAAGTAGAAATACAATTGGATTCCATGTCAAAATCTTATTTAATTTAAAATTATATCTTACTCACTTGAATTTTAGAATAGCTGCCTTCTCCTTTATCCATCTCATCAAATGGAAATATATCTGGAGAGGCATCTCACTAATATTGCTGTATAGTTTTGTGGCTATTTTATTTACAAAAAACAGATTTACAAACTTTAAATCTTTCTTTAGAGCTCCTTGATGTCTTAATGATCATTGTAGAAGTATTAGAGGAGGCTCACAGCTCAATTTTTCACAGAAAACCTAAGAATGTGATATGTAAGCCTGAAAAAGGTCAATTGAAGGTGTCATTTTTAGATTTACGTAACGTTTTTTGTTTTCTTAAGTGTATGAGTACTGAGAAATTTGACTTTCTGCTCTCCAGCCTTTCATTCTTTTTGTTCCCCAACCTAGTTGATTGGGTTTTATTAGGGGCCTGCTGCCCCTGTCCCCCCACCATAAAGTGTTGGTTGGGAAATTATATTTGTTTTATATTGAGCTAGACTTCTTTTAGGTACTCTTCTGAGATTGACATAAATATATCCCTTCCCATAATGGAATGCTAATTTTATTTGATCACTCATTTATAGCAGTTGCTTAAATGTATATAATTATATGAAGGTGTTTTAATTTTTTAAAAGCAAAGTTCTAATAAGTTGCCAGATTTCTAATAAATCCAAGTTTGCTGAGATGTGTTTATGGTTTTGTGATTAGTTGTTTCTTTTAAAAAAAATTAAAAGAGTTAGCATTAGCATAATTGTTCATTTTCTTCCTTCCTGGGGTTATTCTGCATAAGAAAGCCCAACCCTGTCTTGTAGTCTTAGATAACTCTTCTCTCATTTTGAAGGTGAACCCTTTCTCCTTTTTAAAGGTTAGCATTCATCAACATAAATTAAATACTTTAAATTCCAAAAGAAAGAACATAAAATTCCACATCTAGCCTAAGGCCATTTAGTAGTCTTTTTGAAACTCATTACATCATTTGCCTCCTGCCCATTTGAATAGTCATACCTATGTTTTATTGTGTATTATTTGTGAAATCAAACCCAGTAAACACTTGCTATAAGGCTTTATAGTAAAAATATTCCCTTTTGATATTTCAAAGAAAATTTTCATCTAAGCTATCATATTCTTAAAGAAAGCCAATCTGAAATATTTGAAAGAACCGTTTATACTAGCATTGTCTTTTAGCATTTGGAACCTCTTGTAAGTGAGCAACTTTTTTCTTTTTTTTTAAAGCCTTATAGAAAGAGTGTACTGGATTTATAAGTGTGTTTGTTTTTCTGAGGATGGGAGCTTCTGTTAACTTAGAGGTGGAGTTCTGAAAAAGCCAGTGAATTGGATGACTGACTTGGAGAATCCAGAATGACAAATCCATTAATCAGACATGTTTACTTTTACATTAGAAGTTTGTTAATTAGGCTTTGCATCTGAAATGCAAACACAGTTTGAATATGTCGCATATTTAATATACTGGTACATAATTTAATATAAATAGATAAGCATTGATTTAATGTAGCTAACTGCCAATCTTCTTAGTAAGGCTTTTTTCTTGTTAAAGACATATATGTGTGTATGTTTTATTTAGAGGTTACCAGAAGCTCTGGTTTGTTTTTCTCCAAGGGGGAGGTTCTTTAGTTTTGGGTTTTTTGTTTTTTGTTTTTTTTCTTTTATTTTGGTTGTGGGTTTTAAATCATTTTCAGATGTTAATCCAGAAATCTGCAAGTATACTTTGCCTATTTTAACTCCTTCCTTTTATCACCTGACTATCAGGGAAGCGTGTTTGAGGCTGCCCTGACCTGACATGTCATGATGTCGACTTGCTAGGTGGGGTTCGCTGGGGACGATAACCAGTGGAATTATTGGT